GTGTACCTCCCACTCCTCAGGCTGAGGGCAGACCAAGGCTGTCCTAGCAGAAACCTGCTTGAGCTCGTGCGGGAAGCATTGAGGGTAGCACTCCGGGTTTCAAGTGTGAAAGCATTTAGTAGGTAATGAAAGCCTGTGCTGAGTGGGGCTGTGATAAGAAGTGTGAGTGCCCTGTATTTTACGTGGCCCCTGGTCTCCCGGCAGTGGAGTCCAAGTTGTCCCATAAAGTGCTGGGGCACAGAGAAGGCTCACCTCAGTGAGGCAGTGACCCTCTCGGGGTCAGCTTCCCTGGCCTTCCCGGCTGGCCCCTGGCTGGCTGAGCTTGGCTGTTAGAGCGGTGGGTCCACCCCTCACACTCCTCCTCCTCGCCTTTCGTGGCGTCTCTTCCCCCTCTCCTCCCTGCCCATCCTGATCTGCACAGCAGTGGCCAGTGTGGCCTTGAAGTAAGGCCAAGCTCAGCTGGACAAATACTGTTCTGTCAGGGCTTTGGCGCCCCAGCATGCAGTACTTGATGGGAATTCAGAGTGAAGCCCCTGGGTCAGGATTTGAATCTCAACTTCATCCTTGATAGCACTAGAATCTTGAGCAACTTATTTAACCATATGAGTCTTGCGCCTTCTTGTAAAGCAGGGATGAGAATTAACTACCCATGTAGGCCTATTTTAAGTCTCTTTATTGGTTTTTATGAGCCAGAGTCTTGCTATATATTTCAAGCTGGCCCTGAATCCACTAAGCCCAGGCTGCCCCTTGAACTCCTGGCAATCCTCCTGCCTCAGCCTCCCCAGCGCTGGGATTACAGGCATGTACCACCACACCCAGCTATATATTTTGAGATCTAAATGAAGCACTATATTCATAATACCTTAAATACATCACCTGACACAGAATTAATGTTCAGATGGTGACTGCTGTGATTATTTTCTTTTTCCTAACTGGCGATATCCAGACTTTAGAGTAGTCAGATACTGGATCAGCCTGGGCTCCCGGGCGCCCTGCTGGAGCACAGCTGTGGGCAGCCTTGCCCTTTCCCGCATCCGGAGCTGAGCAGTTGATGTGGGAGACCTGAGTGGGAGGCAGCAGTGTCAGGCAGAGCTTGCGTTTCCATCTCACCTTTGGCCTCTGGGCCGCTCTAGCTGTGTCTCGTTGACAGGGACATTGCCAGTTGTCCAGGGACAGTGTCGGTGCCGGCTGGCAGACGCTGCAGGGCACAGCAGAACTGACGGCCTCTGGCCAGGGGGCCAGGGCTCGGGCAGATCACAGAGTGGCTGTGTGACATTAACAAGTTGCCTCCCTAACCAGGACCCTCCTAGGAAAACTGAGGGGCTTGAACCGGGCAGTCTGTTAGCTTCCTTCCAGCTGGAACCTTTGCTGTACACGGTGCAACGTCCAGCACTGGAGAGAGTTTAGGGGCTAGAGTGAGTGCGGGGTCAGAGAGGCCAGACTTCCCCGCCTAGAGCGTCAGCAGTAGGGGCCCTCTGCCCCGCCCTGTGGATGGCACTTGGGGACACACACTCATTTCTCACTCCTCTCTCCCTTTGCTTTTCTCCCTCCCTCTCTCCCTCCCTCCCTCTTTTCTTTTTTCTTTCTTTCATTGCATCAGGAATTGAAGCCAGCGCCTTCACACCAAGGTATCTCCCCAGCCCATTCTTGTATTTTTATCTTGACACAGTCTCACTAAGTTGCCCAGCTGGGCTCAAACTTCGATCCTCCTGCCTCGGCCTCCCAGAGGGCCGCGATCACAGGGATGCTGGGCCAACTCAGGCATTTCTGAGTGCTGCCTGGTCCCACTTGACTGGACCCGGCTGTAATGAAGGGCGCTCCCCACATTCTTTCAGGGGCTGTCTTTAGAACTTCTCTCCATGGAGCTACTTCCACGGAAGCTCCTCGTGTCCATGCACCATGGAGATATTTAAATTCTTCCTGTGTTGTACCCCAGCTCAGATCACGTCCCACTGACATTTCCTCTCTCGGAGAGCTGTACGCAAGCTCACCCCTTCACGGGCTCCCTGGGGCTCTTGGGGAGGGAACCAGTGTGTGCCGTGTGCACCCCATGGAGCCTGGGGCCCAGAGCTCTTACTCCAAGTTCCGGGGCCTGGGTCCTTTGTTAAGGTTTGCAAGTTAGGGTTAGTGGATTTCCAGGCGTCACCTTCCATACAGCGGCAAGCACCGGGCAGCCAGCGTGCTCTGGGGTTCTGAGGTTTGCTTGCTTCTGCCTTTGAGGCCCTGTGTGTGTGATGGCCTGAGAAGCCAGGTGGAGTTAAAGCCCCTTGGTGAGGCAGATGTGGAAACTCTCGGGTGTATCTGTGACCGAGACTGATGCCCGCCACCCTCCTCCTGGGAGGAGCGCCCTGTAAGGGACCGCTCCAGCTTACACTGTCCCTGCCTCACTCTCCCCAGGCATTTCACACCTGCCTCTCCTGTCAGAGTGGTCGGCTTCCGCTTCGCGCTGGAGTTCAGAGTGTCTCGGAGCCCCTCCCTTGCAGAGCAGGGCCTCCAGCAGAAGCTTACCAAGTGCTGACAGGACTCTGCCCTGCTAGCTCCCTCCTGTCATGGGCTTTAGGCAACTCCTTCCTCATGGGTATAGTTTTAGAGTTTTAGAAAACGTCTGCTTTTTTTTTTTTTTGGTCTTTTTGAGATAGGGTCTTGCTGTGTAGTTTAGTCTGGCCTTGAGCTCACTTTGTAGCCCCAGCTGTCCTGGAACTAGCAACGATCCTCCTGCCTCAGCTTCCCAAGTGCTGGGATTACAGGCACGCCCCACCACACCCCACGAGTTTTAGAAAATGTGATCTCCAACATGCGCCTCAGAACTTCCCAAGTCAGTCCCATTACCCTGTTCTGAAGCTGCTTCTGCGTGTTTGGGTCTCAGAGCAGCGACCCACTTGTTGGTGCAGAGTCTGTCCTCGTGTCCTTGTGTACACAGGCTGCTGAGAGCAAATCCCCTGGATCGTGGGGCTCGGGCCGTGACGCTGTTTCTCACAGCTCTGGCGTCTGCTGGCACTGTGTGTGGTGCGGGCTGTCCTGGGGCTGGCAGATGGCTGCCTTTGCTCCTGCGCGTGTCACCTGGCTTCTTTGGCACCAGTGAGCGGAGGAGGGAGAGACCTCTCTTCCTCTGATGAGGGCATCACTGAGAACCTCACCAGACGCTGCTCACCTCCCAGATGTCTTGCCCCCAAGTGCAGGACGCTGGGCTTTGCCGTGTAGCTCTTTCTTGGGTGACACAAACATGTGGTCTGTGATAGGAGCCTCTTGGGAGCCTCTCCCCACGACTGGTTCTGCTCGTCAGCTGCAGCTTAGTAACGGTGCCCGTGGCTGAACCCTGACATTTAAGGCTCTGTGCCCAGGGGAGGCGGGGAGGAAGGCCAGTGGGTGTGGGACATACGCCCAGTGCTGACCCGAGAGATCAGAGGACTGAGTGGGGGACGACGGAGGTGCGCGCCCGGGTTCTCTCCGTCACGTGGAGACCCGCCCCTCCGTCAGTTGGACCTTGGCATGTGATATGACCAGGCAAGCGTGCTGCTGTGCCATAGCACAGGACAGAGGAATCCTGGGAAATGTCACACACGGGCCGGGAGTTGGGCAGAGAGCATGCTGGGAAAGGCCACTGAAAGCAGGCCTCGTCCCCCTCTCTGTAGAGTGTCCTCAGCCTGTGGGTTTATGAAAACTTCCTCTAAGTCATGTGAGGCTCTCTCTGGGGAAGGGCAGGGTCCCCTGTGGTTCCTCTTTCCTTCTTGAGTCCCAGGGGCTGTCCCCTGCAGGCCCCACGGGGCTTGGGGTCTGGCTGCGGGGCAGGAGGGGGTGGAATCCTCAGATGGGTCTGCACTCGTGTGCGGTGGTGAAGTCAAGGTGAGCCTGCACAGCGGGGGGGTTCCCTTCGTGTCTCACTGCTGATGTCTGATGCACTCACACAGTTGCAGGTCATTTGGCCCACGCCCGAGAGGGGCCTGCTGTCAGAAGTAAAAGGAAACAGATGACATCCATGCTAATCTTTTATTTAGCCTAGTATATACCATGTTAGTTCATTGTGCTGGGATTACATGCATGTGCCACCACGCCTGGCCAACATAAAAATTACTAACGAATACTACTATAAACACTTGCCCGTAATCCCATTACTGTGGGAGGCCTAAACAGGAAAGTTGCAGGTTTAAGCCCAGCCTAGGCAACTTAGCAAAGCTCTGTTCTAAGACACATAAAAAGGACTGGGGATTTAGCTCACTGCAGAGGACCTGGGTTCAGTGTCCCATATGAAAAAAGGAAGGAGGGAAGGAAGGAAAGAAACCTAATGAAATAGTTAGCATCCTTTTTTGTACTGAGTCCTTAAAATTAGGGGCGTTTTGCACAGTTTGGATTAATCCCACTTCAGATGCTCAAGAGCCACGCGTGGCTGGAGGCAGCTCCCGAGTAGCCAGCTCGTTTATGTCCACTCTCCCCGATGCCCCTTCAAAGTCGGAGCTGTGCTGTCACGGTCAGGCACCGCGTGGGAGGGACCATGCCGGGCCGGCGTTCTCACCGCCGGGATCTGGTCGGGCTCTGCTCCTGGCTGCTGTGGGGTCCTGGGAAGCACATGCGCTCTCAGCCACGGCGCCCCACCTAGAGGAGAGGATGACGCTCTCGGGCCATGACTGCCAGGCCCTGTGTGGTTCTGACAGGCCACGAATTGCACCTTGGCTGTGGGCAGGGGATGCTGGGGACTGCTGTGTCCCCACCATGGTCTCATCGGAGAGCCAGGGCTTCTGAGAAAGGCGGCTTCTGAAGCTGGCTGTACCTGTGGCCATCTCGGGGTGTGGCTGAGGGCTGAGGAATTTATCTACACTGTCGGGCCCTGGACTGTGAAAATCTTCCACGCACCAGCACGGTGCTGCCCCCGCTCGAGCTCCTGCTGCCCCGCCTGCAGGAGAGGACGTGAGGCCGGCAGCCTGTCTCCACGGTGGAGCGGCACACACACTGTGTCCCCGGCCTCGGGGTGCGCATCTTTCGGAGGTGTGACGGGCGGGGAGTCGTTGCCTGGGTCTCACAGGGTTCTTTGTCGCGCAGGCTCAGCTGGAAGCTCAGAAGGCCACGCAGGACTTCCAGAGGGCCACCGAGGTGCTCCGCGCCGCCAAGGAGACCATCTCCCTGGCCGAGCAAAGGCTGCTGGAGGACGACAAGCGGCAGTTCGACTCGGCCTGGCAGGAGATGCTGAACCACGCCACACAGAGGGTAGGACGCGACGCCGTGCGCACCCCGGGGCGTCGGGTCTGTGTGCCTGTGTGTGCAGTGGCCCCCAAGCACGGGGGACAAACTACAGCGCCGCTTTCGAAAAGTCAGGGTCGTCTGCGTGTGGTCTCTTGGCTGGGCCGGCACTGAGCGTATTCAGGTCCCAGTCACCCAGTGACCGGGGAGCTGTTCCGTCCCGGTACCGCTTGAGGCCTTGACAGTGGACTTGGGCTTCCCAGAGGCACAGGGCTGCTCTCCAGGGTCTGTCTGACTCTCAGTCTCAGCCGTGCTGGATCTGTGCCTGGGGTCGTGTGCTGGTGGGGAGTAGGGGCCGTGGTGGGATGTTAAAGCAGAATCAAGTGGGCGCTCAGGCCTGGCCTTCCAGGGCGAGGCTGGGATTCAAGGAGGCAGCGTGGAGTGGCTTCGGACGGTCTTCACCGAGAACTTGACTTCCTGAGTTCCGTGCTGCTACTTCTCTTGGCCAGCGTCCAGGACCTCGCTCGTCACATCGCTCAGAATCACAAGTGATAACTGCCCTCGTTTGGCCTGTTAGTAACAAAAAATAACAAAATACCATAAACGGAGTGGCTTATGCACAACAGAAATTTTTTTGTCTTTTTGAGAAAGGGTCTCGCTATGCAGTTCAGGCTGGCCTTGAGCTCACTTTGTAGCCCAGGCTGGCCTCAAACTCCCAGTGATCCTCCTGCCTCAGCCTCCCAGAATGCTGGGATTACAGGCGTGCGCCACTATACCCGGCACAACAGAAATTTATTTCTCACAGTTCTAGGGCTGGGGAGTTGAAGATTGAGGCCCTAGCAGGTGTGTGGTGCCTTGAGGGCCTGTGTTCTGGTTTAGAGAGGGCGGACTTTCTGTGTCCTCACACGGAGGGGTGAATAAACTCTCTGACTGCTGACATGAGGACACTAAAGCCATCCTCAGAACCTAATCTCTTCCCCAAGGCCCACCTCTTGTTCTGTTTTGGTTTTTGTTGGGTTTTTTTGGAGACAGTCTTGTTATATAGCCCAGGCTGGCCTCGAATTCATGATGATCCTTCTGCTTCAGCCTCCTGAGTGCTGGGGTTGCAGATGTGGATCGCCACACCCGGTTCCTGAGGCCCACCTCTTAATACCATCCCCCAGGATTGTACTTCAGCGTAGGGATGGGGGGGTGCAAACGTTCGGCCCCGCACAAGCAGGGACGGGTGCTTGGTCATCAGCAGGACTCGGTCATCCTTGCCCAGCACTACTAGGTTTGCTTCGGGTCACGCAGATGTTCCTGGACACCGTTCCCCTCTTCCGGGCATGCTCCCCGGCTTCTCCCAGGATGCCCCGCGCGTGCTCTTGGCATTTCTTGGCACTGGTCTGGGTCCATCGCTCCCTCTCAGGAGCAAGGCTGGCTGGAGGGAGATACGGAGCAGCAAGAGCTGACACTTCGGGCTTGGGACGGCTTGAAGCTCCTGTAGGGCCAGAGTAGAAAAGTCTGGACTTGACCCAGTGGCCTCTCCCTTTTATTTTTCTTCAGTTCATCAGCGCATGTTCACAGTTCACAGTAAGCACATTTCTCATGAGCTGATCCACGTACACATCTAGATTCTTTTTTTCATCCTCTTCCCCTCCTCTCTCCATCTCTGTTGATTTGTTTTTGAGGGTTTTTTCTTTTCTTTTGAGACAGGGTCTCAGTATACAGTTCAGGCTGACCTTGACCTCATTATGTAGCCCAGGCAGCACCAACTCCTTGCAGTCCTCCTGCCTCAGCCTCCCCAGTGCTGGGATTATAGGTGTGCACCAACACACCCAGCTTCCCTCCATCTCTTGGTTCCCTTTCCTTTTGTGAAAATTCTGTGTCGACGTCCGTCGTCCCCCCACACCCCCCCCCCGTATTATTTATCTTTTATCTCGTTCTTTATTTATATTTTGGATTTTTTCTTGGCCTTTCCCTTTTCAATGTCACCTGCCACGGCAGCTCAAGTCCTGGGGGGATCTGATAATTAGGGACAGCCTTGAGCATCTTTAAATAGAGAGCCTGACACACAATGACACGAAGAGTCAAAACTGCCTTTAGACTACATGTCCCAGAAGCCTGGGGCTCTGGCCTGGCCGGGCTTTGTGTGGCCTTGAGCCTCCTGCCCCCTAGTGGACACAATGAGCTAGACGCTGACTGGGAACAGTTCGGCTGGGTCAGCTCATGAAAAAGCAGATTAGAAATCTTCGAAATATGTAAGTCAAACACTGAAAGATGTTTTAAAAAAAAACCCTGCAGGTTTGCCTTACCTTTTGTGTGCCTGCCACCTCAGCTGAAGAGCCATATCACCTCCTGAAAAGTAATTTAAAAAATCACTGAATCTCTTTCGTTAAAAACAAGGGGCACGGGATGTAGCTCAGCGGCACAAGCTCCTGCCTGGTAAGCCCAAGGTCCTAAGTTCGATTCCCAGTACCAAAAAAAAAAAAGGCATTAAAACAATGAAACACGTCTTTTTTTTTTTTTCTGCTTTTAAAAATTTTTATTAGGACCTGTTTGCAATTTAGAATGATGACATTCATTGTCAGGAGTTGGCCTTCTGCTTTTCTTAAGTCTTTTTAGGCTAGCGCTAATAAACTCAAGAGACAAAGCCAGTGGCAAACCTTTCCCCACCTCCTGGGCCCACAGAGCGTGTCCTTTGAATGACCGTGCAAAACCCAGTTCTTCCCCAAGGCCAGATGCTTGTGTTTGGCTTTGAAATAGCACTGGGTGACGTGGACCTCTGCCGGTGCTCCCCAGACGGGGCTCACTTCACCAGTCTCCCGCGCCAGCCCCCGGGCCTGCAGGCTGTGCTTGCTGAAAGCTGCTTGGTGAAGCACTGCGGGGAAGTAGCTCCTGCCTGGTGCACTTCCGGGACCTCCGAGAAGCCCGTTTCTCCATGGGAAGGGAGCTTTACATCACCCCTTCCACTCTCCACGAGTTCCTCCCAGACGTTGTCCACGTGTCCCTTCCTGTTTCCTTAGACTTCCTGCAGTGCGTCAGGGGTCTCATCTGAACCCTGCCTAAAGCCAGCACACTAGGAGGTGTCACAGCCCCATGTCCTCTAGGCTGCGTGGACTGCCACAAACAGGAGCAGTTCCCTGCTGGGTACAGCTGTTCCCACAGTTGTAGCTTCCCTGGGGCGCAGAGTTTGGGTCCCTGATGCTCCCGGGGGACCCCTCCAGCATTTTGGCCTTAATGAGACGGTGATGGCTTCTTGTCTTCTGAAATAGACGAGCTGGCAGCCCGGGAGGGAGGCGGTGTCTTTGGTGGTGTCTCTGGAAAGAGACCATATGGAGGGGGAGGGGACGTGGCTTGGACGGGGTCGGCGGTCACTGCGGAGGACCCGGCAGCAGGCGCTGCTGGAGAGGAAAGGACAGGACAAGGCCAGCTCCCCACACCAGGCCTGGCGGGAGTAAGGCTAGGATGGCAGGACGCTGCCCTGACACAGGGGCTCCATGCCATTCTCCCCTTTTCAGTCCCCTGACGAGGGACGCAGTAAGAATCAGAGCAATGGGACAGCGCTGAGCGAGGCAGCCTCCCCGTCCGGGTGGAGGACCTGAGCTGTGCTCTGAGGTGCTGGGAAGAGACAGGAGGTCAGAGAGGCCCTGGGAGGCTGAGGAGCTGTGCTGTGTGGAGCCGGCACAGAAGCTGTGCCCTGCTGGGCGGGCACACTCATTCAGTGCCCATCAGCGCCCAGGGTGGAAAGGCTTGGTATCTTCTCTGGGCCGCCACTAGGGGCAGGGTTGAGCAGAGACCCCCACGATCCGTGGGCCTTATGGCCCTAGTTGCTCCAGAACTCGTGACAGTAGGGGCGGGGCAGCCCATCACTCTTGGTGACACCTCTTTGGCCTGCTGGTCCAGGAGGGGCCAAGGGTGGAGGCCTGGAGCTGTCACAGCATCCTCAGCTCTGGCAGCTGGCAGCCCGTGCCCTTTTCCAGGGCTCACTGCCGTGCCCGCTCTGACGTGGGTGCCGTGGCTGTCCTGACGCACCTGCCCAGCAGAGTTCAGCCACTTGGTTCTACAGGACCCCAGCCTTCCTTCTCATTGGGCGTCAGTGGGTAGTCAGTTCTTGGGCGCTAGGAGCTAGCTGTGGGGAGGAGTGTCTCACAAGTTTTGGGAACCCCGGGAACGCCTGGCTTCTTCGTCTGTAGGCCGGGGAAACACCTGTACGCTGGCAGAGAGCAGGTGAATCTTCCCTGAGACCGGCCCAGCTTGCGGAGAAAGCTGCAACCATCTGGAGGGAGGTGGACAATTGCTTCCTTCAGCTAGGGTCGCCTGGAGCATCCCGGCATATGGGAAGCAGGCAGGAGGCCGAATGTGGTGCTGTCCTCCCTGGTGTGTCCTGCGTGGCATCCATGGAGATGGCAAGGACCTGCAGGGACCCGTAGCTTGGTACATGGAAGAAAAAAGCCTGTGTCAGAAGTGCTTCCCCTTCCTGTCCATTACCCGAGACCTCTCACCAGTGCCGCTTCTGCTGTCACAGTCATCCCCACCACCGGGACCCCTCACTGCCTTGAATGAGAGTCATTGCAGCTGGGAGTGTCCCTACCCACTAGGCTGCCGCCTAGGGTTTTGCGTCCAGTAGGGCCTGCACAGGGCCTTGCACCCAGTAGGTGCTTCATCGGGGTGTGACTCTGCATTGAACGTGATGGTGGTACAATGGAAGAGCACCTTCCAGAGTGGGAGCAGAGTTCTCGGGGTCCAGACCAAATACTCGGCTTCAAGGAGAGCAGGTGCCCCTGGGGAGACCTGCGCTGGAGCTTCATGGGCCTTGGGGCTGAGGTGGGAATGCCCGTCGGGTCGCTCAGGCCAGCCCACACCACAAGGGCTTCCTGTGGCTCCAGCCCCTGTCCCTCTGTGGTCCCCTTCCCTTATCACCCCCCAGGCCCGCCCCTTGTAGGCATACAGCTCACGCAGATTCCGGGCTGCAGGTGGAGGGTGTCTCTTTGGAGGTTGTGTTTATGTGGACAGGCCGGCATCCAGACAGGGGATAGTGGGCGTGGCTTGGCAAGGGAAGGGGAGGTAGTGACGTGCATGCCGCCACCTCCTGAGTCTGCCCTGGCCGTACTGCCAAATGCTTGGAGCTGTGTGTTGAATTTTAGAACACCTTTGCTTCTGCTTGCAGCCTGGGGGCCGTGGTAGAACGAGGGCCTGTGTGCTGCTGGTGAGAACCTGCTTCTTGAAGGGGACTCTACAGTTCAGTAGCCGTGCATTACAGCTTTTATAACTCGGTCTGTTTGAAATGCACTCAGGTGCTCTGAAGGTGCGCCCTGCCTTGGATCCTTCTGTCATGGCACAAATCACACCCGGTGTGTTGTTTTGATAAGCTTGGGGTTTTGAGTTATCTTAAAGGTTACACCAGTAAATCCTTTCAGACGGGACCGCAGAGTTACTGTGTTTCCCCCAAGTGTCAAGCGTGAGATATTTTTAGTGCATTTTGTTTCCTTGTGAAATAGTGATGTTAGGTTCTTTGAGATCGCTGGTCCTGCTGGAGAAGCCATCCTGGGAAGCACGTCATCTCATGCACGCAGAGCTCATGTCCCTATTTTCCTTCTCTATTTTTCTGTTTTATTTGTTTTGTTTTGTTTTTTTCCGGTACCAGGAATCAAACTCCCAACCTTGAGCTTGCCAGGCAGGCGCTGTGCCCCTGAGCTAAACCCCCAACCCCCTATTTTTCTGTTTTAAAAATTACCTCAAGCTTCTGTTAAAAAATAGGGTTTTAATAAGGTAAAAGCATAGTTGTAATATAAATATAAAATGTTCTCATAGCAAAGATTTTATTTAACTGATTAAGATGTTAAAACAGTTCTTGAGCATTTTTAATTCAAAAGAGAATTTTTAGAAATTCATAGAGCCAGGTGTGGTGGCGCATGCCTGTAATCACAGCACTCAGGAAGCTGAGGCAGGAGGATCGTTGCGAGTTCGAGACCAGCCTGGGCTCCAAAGTGAGCTCAAGGCCAGCCTGAAGTGTATAGTGAGACCCTATCTCAAAAAGACTTTAAAAAAAAATCCTAGAAAATCAGTAATGTGGAAGTGTATATACAAACATTCAAAATTGGTCATTTTTCACA